AAAGGATGAGATTGGTTAGAATGATAATGTCTATAATGACGTCTGAGGTTACTTCTGCTTGAGTAAATGGTCCCAAATAAAGGATGAGATTGGTTAGAATGATAATGTCTATAATGACGTCTGAGGTTACTTCTGCTTGAGTAAATGGTCCCAAAACTTTTACACTCCAGAAAAAAACACATGAATGCTGGAAAATAAACGAAAATATAATTTATATTCATTCAGAAGATCGTGAATTTATTATAATACGTTAAATAACTTTTGACTTACGACTTTCTCCATAATGTTGGTATTGGTGCTCTTGCCATTCACCTTGAGATCGGAATGTTCTTCCACAATTATCATAATTACACGGAATTCTATGCATGGATGATGTTGAACGTCTTGTAGAAGGTAAAGAAATGGGGCGGGAACTATTGTTAAAGCCAATTGCAATAGAACCTTTAAATTAAAAATATTCAAATATAAGTGGATTAGAACTCATGTTAACAAATGTTTAACGAGATTTATTCCAAAAGAAATTTACTTGAATCTAAATGATCCATTACATCAGGTTCTGAAAATTAAAAATGGGTAAATTAAGATACAAAATTGTAAACAATGCAGATGGAAATATGTAAATTACCGGAATATATAATACCCGTAGAAGAGAAAGTATCATCATTATTATTAAGAATTGTTGCACCTTAAACATTAACATTAGGAGCATTTAGATTTCATACAGTCAATGGTACAGATAGAGCGCGAGTAAAAATAATAATTAAATTTACCAGAACCCACAGGGAGCAAAGATTCTCCCGAATTCTCAGGAGGCAATGAACTATCATCATTAGTGGGAGGCAAGACGAATCGAGAACTGCTGTTTGGGACAATCACGGAAAACGTGGGTGGTGTTTGAGTGTCATCAATTCCAATTGTAAGTTCACTTTGTGAAGAACCATCTAATTTAAAAATATAATAATTATTTTAATTAGAATAAGAAGTCTATAAGTGATAAAAATCACGTTCTTGTACAATTGAAAGTTTACTATTTTTATTTTTGAGGTGCAAAAATAAGATCACCTAATCGTTAATAAAATTTTACATATTAAATCTAAATAATCTACCATATACGTAGCTACGGTAGCTAATATGCATTTTGTAATAATTTACCATCCGGTTTCTATATTAATCACGAAAAAAAAGACGAAGAAAAAAGGACGAAAAAAAAAGGACAAAAAAAAAGGACAAAAAAAGAAAGGACAAAAATAAAAAAAATTAAAAAATTAAAAATTAAATAATATAAGAAAAGGTACCTACCTGGCCTAATAGTGGATAATGTGATACTATACACCATATTGTATTTTTTTTATTGAAGCTAATATGTTTTATTGATGAATTGTTGGTATTATCAAAAATTATTCCAGCGAAAATCTTTTAATTTTATACAAAATTTATGAAAATAATTAAAACCGTTCAATTATTATTGAAGCCTAATAAAGCCTGTGGAACATTTACAAAAATATCTTTTTATGAAGGATGCATAAGATACAGTCTCGAGCACTTTAATCTTAATGAAGAGATCGTTACAATCTTTGACAAATAAATCAACACAAACAATATAGTTATTGTTAAATGAGTATTAAGTTTACGATTTTAGAGACTGTCTAAAGTAAGACAGTTTATAAATTAATTACTAATTGATTTGCAAATTAAAGGTCACATAAAGCATGTAAAATACTACGAGACTTTAGGTGCTCCTAATTCAATCGTATTAACAGATAACTGTTCTATAAATAAATTGGTTACCTGATTGGTCTAATAAACATCTTTTATGTTACATATGCTCTGGCGTACGACTAGTGGCGAGTAATTCTTTAATCATACGCGAGCTGTGCAGCATATAATAAAACGAAGATCGTATCAAAATATTTAGGCACAATATATGTCAAATCAACCGTTTAAAATCATTCAATTTTGAATTACATCGCCATATATGCCTTTCGAAGAATATTCTCTTTACAATTCTTGATCCGTTCTTTATAAAAATAGTACTCATGCTTATAAACTCAGGATTTAATATTATTAACGGTTGGAATGGGATTGTAGATTTTGTCTGTTGGGTTTATACGTATTACACGTACACAAAGCTGGCTAAAAAAAAAACCATAATTAAACAATTTTGCATTCCTAATCCAAAAATATATGAATGCAAGCCTTGGTAAAAATAGTACATGTATATTAATAATTTTAAGGTTTAATAGTATAATATTTGAGAATACTTTATTATTGATCATTGCCAGAAAGTGAAAGATTCTTCAATGACTAATTAAGCTTTGCATTCCATTAAGATTAATAAATGATCTCTATTTTTTATATTTTTTCCTTAAATGGAAGTGCGGTAGCGATGTAGCTAAAGGAGTTTGATTATTATTCGATAGAAAACTAAGAATCATAAAATATTACAAAGCTTTAGCACATGCAGTACCTTTATTATTATTTACGGGAAAAAATCTGTTTGAAAATTTTTGAAACTAAATTTTTACACAATGGGGCAATCACGTTAATGCAGATTTAGCTTTATTAGGGTTAGCATAGGTTAGTTACTATCGCTGTTTAGATGGTTTCACTTAAAAAAAAAACATCACCATTTTAAAACAGGAGATGATTAAAGTATGAATAATTAAATATGGATTTAAACATATACAGATCATAATCATCACCTGTTTTAATTACATATTAAACATTGCCTTCCCTATTTTTCACCTTGGCGTAAATTATATTTGGTAATAATATCGATTTTCACTTTATCGTTATCTTTATCGGTTTTACAGTTTAACATCGGAAAATTGTGATACTATATTGCATAATTGAAGATCAACTCTATAGCACGTGTAACACATTTTTACATCTATAGATTTATTGGCCTACCTTTCATGTTGTGTAGAGATATGCCAGTCCGATCCGGTCTCTATAAATAGGTCAGCCCGGTCCAGTCCGTTCCGGTCTCTAAAATGACCGGTCCATTACAGCTGCTCTCATAAATTTTGGGACATCTGGTAAAAAATTGACCGAATGATTTTATGCCGATTCGATAAGTTT